TCGTAAGATCCCTTCTGTTCCTGCTACTCTCCGCGCCTTTGCCTCCTGCTGTACCACAGCTCCCACATCTCCCCCAGAGCTGTGCTGCAATGCAGGAGGAGCAGGTTTGGCAAGCAGTTGGCCGAGCTGTTGAAACTGGGGTAGTTCCCTGGCGAGAACAGAAAAGAACAAAGCCAGCCTGTAATGCTACAAGAGGACTACAAGGAAACACAGGAAGGAACTCATTCTTGCTTAGAAACAACAACAACAAAGATTTCCGATGAAAACACTGAATTAACATTATTAAGCAGTTTCTTTCTCACAGCAGAGCAGCCAGAGCACACAGCACAAACACACCCCAGGAGACACACAATACGCCATCCTGAGCAAAAAATAAATACATAAAACTTACCAGCGCTGCTCTGTGCTTTTTTGGAAAGCAGAAAAACAACCAGCAGTATTCTGAATTTGACTTTCAAAAGATCATAAATAACTTATGTGTCCAAACTCCACTAAGTTTGGATGAAGTTAGCCGCCTTGCTTCTCTGGAGGCTTCTTTAGCCTACGCAGTTGTTAGTAAGCTTGCTGGAGGTTAGTCAAATTAAGATAAATGAGGTCCAGATTCAGAAATACTCAGAAAAATATAAAATCGTTAACATATTTAACTCTACTCAGGACAAATTATTGCTGGAATCCAGATAGGATGTGGAAGCTGTGTACATCACATACTCACATGTCAGTGCTCAGCACACAGGAGGTGAGCCAGGAAGCCACTGCTGCCCCATCCCCTATTAATCAGCACAAGAAACCATCCAGTGAGACATGAAGTTCCTGAGACTGCAATTAGCCTTTTTCCTCAGCAAGAAAAAATGAGTAACTTTGTGAAAACCTGTAGTTCCCCCTACTGTTTCCACCACCCCCACGAGGACTTTGCAGATGGAGACTTGGTGCGAATAAATTTAATCCCCCGGGCACTGACTATTCTTACAAAGCAGAAGCAGTGAAAGTGACTGCTGACTCCTCTGTCTGGGCATTAGCACCCCGGCACCAGCACGGGGTCAACAGACACAAGCTATGCACCAACAAACTATTGTGCAACTTCCACTGCATCTGCTAATCCTGCGTTTTTGCATGCCTGACAGATAAAGCAGGCAAGGCTTCACCTAAATACCCCGGTTTCCCTTTAGGCATAAAGGGGACTTTCCTGAGTTAGCCCCAGGGACTGGAGCCAGCTGTACAGCTCCATTTGACATCGACTGTTTTTCCTACTGAGAAAATCTGTGCTTGTAATGTGCAAAATACACTTCCCCATCCATAAGAACAGGGGAGATTAAAAAAACCTAAAGCAGTCACAATATTCTCTCATCCCCAGTGAATAAGGGCTGCCATTGCTGCAAAGAAAGCACTGCTGGAGGAGGCGGCTCCCCCTGCGCTCCCTTCTCTGGACATTCCTGACAGTGAGAATATATTAAACATTTTAAAGTATTAAAACCTTCAGGCACCCCGCAGACAATCCACACTGCCTCCATATCTTATAGGTCATACCCTTAAAATCTGTAACAAAGGCCAGTAACTTCTCAATGAAGATATTCCAAATATCCAATAAAAATGAAAGAGTGCGGAATGGCAGCCAAAATGCTCCTGGTCCTCAGGGAGGCAAGGTCAGCATAGGCCTTCCATGCAGAGCACGCTGTGCTTTCATAACTCTCATTTATGTGGTCCATGTGAAATCGGCCGCTTACAAGCTTTAAAACCCACATTTCTTCTTAACCAAAAACATAAGCAAAGAGAGGCAGAAAAAGGCCTTAATAGCAAATGATAAAGGCACTCACAGATTACAGTACCTGCAGATTTTATTACTATAATGCACAAAGACTAAGAATTGCAATAACCTGTTACTACTCAGTGTCAGTCAGGTATCCAAACTAAATTTCTAGGTGCTACATGGATGCACACTCAGCAGGTACACTGCCCAAGTTTCCCCAGGATGCCTGCATTCAAGGGCACTTTCATAAAGCATCAGTGCAGTGGTACTATTTTCAAGCACAGTGCTTTGGATAATTTAGAATGAGATTACTCAGTCCTAACAGAACAAGAAATCTAAACAGAAGCCTTTCGTGCCTGAAGTGCATGCCAGCACTAGACTGCATACATGTGTCCATTTACACATACCCATGTATTGAACAATTTATACAAGATCCTACCCATGAAAATACATAAAATCCTTTGGGGGACACAACAATATCCCCTGGTTTGTACAAGTGCTCTGTTGTTGAAGCTATAAAAGGTAAAAAATTACAAAATGGCTTGGGTTGGAAGTGACCTCAAAGACCCCCAGCCCCAACCCCCTGCCGTGGGCAGGGCTGGGCTGCCCCCCACCAGATCCGGCTGCCCAGAGCCCCAGCTAACCCAGCTTAAGCACCATCAGAGACAGGGCACCCACAGCTCCCCAAGCAGCAGTGCCTCACCGCCTTCTGAGTATAACATCTCTCCCTAATATCTCATCTAAATCTCCCCTCGTTTAGTTTAACGCCATTCCCCCTTGTCCTATCACATCAGCTTTGTTTGCCTAAGGTTCTCTTTTCTCCTTTCTTACAAAAGAACGTAACTTGCACTCTGCCATGACAGAATTTTACAGAAGGCAGTTTCAAAGAGGGATGACAAGATGGAAGGAGGGAAGGGCTGCTGCTATCCAGGTAGCGTCCTCAGGTTGGCACAGAGTCATAGCAAGAGCTGAGTAGCTCATGTGAAATAGCAATGACGCAAGGTTTGGCACTGAGCAAAAATTAGTTGACACTCTTATGGGAATGATGTGCATACATGCACATTTACTGCTTGTACATTGTGTGGTTTTGCACAATAGTTTTACTTCAGAAACGCTTTGTGCTGAAACTTTTCCATAATCTAGGCTGTCCTTACATAAACTGTAAATTCATACATGACTTTTTGCCTTCTTAACTATTATTTTCACTAGTTTCTTTAATAATAAGTCTGGGCTCACAAAAATGTATCATTTTACAAATTATTTATTAATGAGAGGCCATCAAGGTTGATGTACTAAAAAAATAATCCAACAATCTAGCTTGGGTACATCAAGCACATGAACTGAATTTGTCTGAATAGAAGTAAAATTCTCTGGGGGGTTATAAATACTGTGACAGAAAATTCAGAGAATTTTAAAAAATTGATTAATGTATGCTATGCACATTGAACTGCATTACTGTTACTTATGATTTGGCAGTGTTAATATAAAGATTGTCAACTACTAAACATAAATAGACATGCTGACAAATAAAACGACACACGTACATTGACCAACAAAAAGCAGACAAAAGGAAACAAACAGATGAGATGGATAAGCCAGGATGAGGAGAAATCCTTACATTTCTATTTCATCATTGTTTGGCACTTTGATATTGCACGAGTGCTATTCAATACAATTGACTCCTGTGTGCATCCACGTGAGCTGCACTTTGATTATGAAGGTGAGGTCCCTTTTTACCCCCACATTGAGACAACATCTGTTGGAAACACTGGGAGATAAACTTTCAGACTCACCAGAAGGTTAACACTGGGGAAAGCGGGACCCTAAATTCCAGGAGGAGCTCAGCTTAAAACATCACTGTCCAATAATGCTATCACCTAGGTGCCTATAGTAATGCATTGTCATGACATGTGTGACATTAGTAAAACCATTTTTCTCTTGAAAAAGATGTCTTTAAGCTATGGAAACATCACTTCTACATAGAAAAGCAGCCCGAGAAGCCAAAGAAAGGGGTGTTTTTTCAGCCTACTTAAGGGTTTAAGAACCCAGAGGGCAGGACTTTGCCATAGACAGCCATTTGGTGCTTATCTTTTAGAAAATTCTGGGCAAAAAGCATGGGATAAAGGCAAAAGAGATAAGACCATATAACAAAACCAGAGGCAGCAGATAGCATTGCAAACATCGCTATTGCCCAAAATGACAGAAATAGTACTAAGATTGAGAGAGACTGGTGCTCATATTGTTTTGTGGCAAGGGGTAGTGGGAGTTTTGTACATACAACAGTTGTGTAACTGCTAGTAGGATCCTGGACAAATGTGAACATCAAAACAGCTATTTCCAACTGAAATATTACACACAAATGTGAAGATTGGGACTTGGAAAATCTGAAACCTACCTTCTTCAGGATGGACACACCCTGGGGGAGCACTTATTATCTATATATCACAGATAGAATTTTGAAAGGCACTGAAGTGTTTGCACAACATGGCAGGAGAAAGTAGTAGGCTCCTCTCAGCCCCAGTGAAGACAAGTGAGCACACTGGCAGGCCGGGGGCCTTTACTGCATGGAAATCTGCAGACTGGAAGGGAGAAGAAGGAGCTGAAAACCACAGATATAAAGTAAGGGGGGAAAGCAGATGTGAACATCCTGTGATGAAGGAAAGAGGAGTAAGTAGTTTATTAATACTGAACTAATTGCCGCTGTAGTGGTGTAACAGTCTCTGAACTGCTAGCCAAATCTCAGTTTCCTGAGCAGCTTTACAGTAGGAGCGAATATCTTAACGTATATATACATATAAATAATAATAAATAAAAATTAAAAACAAAAATAGTTTTGTAGAAATTCATTTTAAAATGTTGTTTTAAAATAATTCACTGAAATGGAGAAGCAGCTCATTGAGAATAAGTGTTTTTTTTTTTAATCTAATTCCAATCTAGATTTCAGGTAGATGAGATGTCATCCTGCCCTTTGCTCATCTGATGGCTTGTTCTCAGTGGAGCACATCAGAACCAATTGCATTATTTACACTCCCTGGTATGAATCTAAGTCCAAAATGTCTCCTATAACAGAGATAAAAGAACAGAGCAAAGACATGATCCATAAGTGAAACACTATAAAGCTTCAACCATAGGTAGGATCCATCTGCTGCAAAACAGAGATTCCAAAGCCTCTCAAGTGTTTGAAGACTGATGTGGTAATTCAATTTGATGAAAAGAACCATATTTAATTTATTGTACAGGGTACAATGCGAGCCTATATTTCAATTTTGGTTTCTAGATGTTTAATCACTAAACATCTGAATCAGCAGAACAAGGAGGACGGTTCTCTACACAACATACTTTCTTTTTTATTTCACATAATATTTGATAAGGAGCACATTTCTGAATCCCCTCTGTGGCTTACAGTCTTTTTGTGGAATTCAGATCAGAAGCAATGTAGAAATTGACAAAAGTTTTAATGCAAAAAGATCCATTCAAAGGATTCCCAATTTTATTTTTTACAGAAGCCATTTGATGGGCAGAACATCAGGCTGGGTTACACCTAGCAAGCCTCCCATACCAGCTGCAATGATAGGCTGTCACAAGGCACCTCTTGCAAAAGCTTCAAAAGGAGGCAAGGGACAGAGGGTGCCTCAGGCATGTCTCATCTATGCATGTGCATGCAGACTCCAAGGAGAAGGGCATGACAGCAGCACAGCTTTTCAATCCATACCGTTCTTTTACAGGCACAGTACAAAAAGGTGTTACTTTGGGCCTTGAGTTGTTTGTAGGGAAGCAAGTATACTTTAGATAGCTCCTCTTGTTGGCATTTGATTAAATAGTGGGACTGTTTGTCAGTTTTTATTGCCATAAACTCAAGCTTACACACAACAAAGATGGGCAAAATACTTCAAGCAATCTATTCTTGAGACTATTTTCTGTATCACAGGCAAACAAAGGCAAACCACAATATGAATTATTTGGAAAAAAAAAAAGATCTCTAACACAGTAATAATACCAGCCTCAGCCAGTGAAACATTACCTCTAACAACACCTCATAAAACTGCATAACTTCAAAATCTTCTTTATTAAATACCTAAGAGTGTTCACTGCAATCAATATATATTGATGGTGTGTTGCTATAGGGCAACATTTTTTGCTTGCCTGTTAGTACTATAAGAGTGTGGTATGGGTATGGCCAGACTTCAACACGTCTTTATGAAACTCATTGTATTCCCTAGGATAGAAGTAAGTCACACTGAAACCTGTTGAATTTTGAGGCAGTAATTAACGCCACAGGGTCTATATTATGGGAGGACTGAAATGTCAAAAGGGATTGGAGATGACAATGAGCACAGACATGTTGCCCCCAGTGAGTTCTAGCTCCTGCTCTGAGCCAGCATGCCTTCCAAACCCACTCAAGGGCTGTGCTAACCAGGCAGACATCCATGCACAGTGCAACAGCTTCTTTTGTCCAAGTATTTAATGTGGTGGCAGTGAGAGATTTTGGACTGCAGGTGTTGACTACAGTAGTGCATGCCCTGAATTGCTGCATCCCTCCAAGGTTAAGGTATTGTTTTAAAATGATCTCTCTACTATATGGGACAGCGTCCCCCGTGCACAATACAGTGAAGGCAAAAATGCTCTCCCTGAACAATATGCATCCTAAAAATGCGTATAAGTTAAAAAACATCCAACTATGAGCAATGTTAAAACCAGGAATGATTTAGAATTGTGTAAATTCAGTTTTACAGTGTTGGTTTACACTCAGCATCAAACACAGCCTCTGCTTTACCAAGGAGCCTGAAGGGCAGCAGACGTTTCTAAGACTGCAGAAACCATAGCAAGTGTGTTCATCTCTACCAAGCAGAAAATGTGCTAAAGTGTTCTCTCTCTGTTTGTCTCTCTCTGCTACCCTCTAGTGAGCTAGCAAACACGAAATGTGAGATTCAAGTGCCTTTGCATAAGGACATTGTTAAGCAATTTGGAATTTTCCACTTTGTGTAAAATATTCACCTCTGTCAGTACAACATTGGGCTATTATTTTCTTCTGATTTTGTCACTTGAAATGTTTAAGAAACATAGCTTGAAATGTTTGACACTGCAAACTGTATTTAAATAAAAATTTTAAATACGATTACTGGACTGTCCTGACCTTAGGTTTTTCTTTCTCTAAATGAAGGACTTTTTTTTTCCTGTCAGCGATAATTATTGTTTAGTAGTTTAAAGATTTTATTATTACTGTTGTTGTAATAATTTGCTTTGAACAATTTTTCTCACTGAGGGACTATAGGTCTTCCTTTTTCATGGAATGCTGAGGATGGGGACGCAGGAGAACTAAGCAGTAGAAAACTTAGCAAGTTGTCTGTAGTTTGCTATCCCCTGCCAGACAAGAAACAGGTATTTAACTATTTGAGAAAGGCAACATTCAGGACAGATTGTGAAGGTTACTGCTCTATTACTGTTTGTTGCTCCTCTACACCACTTCAAGCTTCTTTCCTATCTCTTCCTGAGAATTAAACAGATGGTAAACAGAAGTCAATGCCAGTGTAACTCACCATCTGGCTAATAGATGCATTTTTGCATAGGCTCATTAGCATGCTCATTCCATCTCAAATCCTCCATAACAGTTTCATCTCCGTCTGTATCTTCTCCATAATATGGTAAATAGATGCAAAACACATATACAAAGTTGCAGTTCATGTGGAACATAATCATGGCTTTTAACTAACCAAAACATCAGAAGTGGGACCAGACCCAGCCAGTCCTCCTGAGCATCAGCTGCATTTGCTGTCTACTCCACTTTTATTAGTAGTATTATATTCTGATTTAATGTTTGCCTTTAATTTACCACTGGTACATTGTTTATCTGATGCACATACTGTAAGAGGAAGCAATTGTTAACTTTTGTTATCTTTTAATATATAGATATATATAATTGAGAGGAGAAAGCAAATCATCAGAAAAAAAATAATTGCATTACAACTTCAGCTTCTTTGAGGTATGGCTTAGTGGGTTTTGCTGATTGTAATTACCCTGAGATTCCCAAAAGTAGGAACAAGAATGACAGGGCCAATTTTTGTCCATTCAATAGCGTTAGGGCAGCTCGTCAAGAACCTTTTTTCTTTTCTCCTTGACTAATCCTGTCACTATTTAATAATACCGGTCAGAAAGTTCAAAACTTGAGTTATTTAAAGCTCAGCAAATTGCAGCTCAGAACTGACAGTGTCACAACAGGCTAACAGACAAAGAAACACAATGACAAATTAAAACACACATGGGCCAGACTGAGAACAGGATTCATCAACCGCCAAGTGGATGTGAGAAACATCAGTATCATGCCCTGCACCAATTCAGGACATATTAGTCTCTCTCCTCAGTATTTGTGAATAATCAAATTTAAATGGAAATGGGAAACATTTGGGGAGTGAGAAAGTCTACTAATGCTCACTAATGCATTACCTACAAGCATTTTAACATAATTTGAGCAAATAATTAAAAGCATGATACTGTAAGGCCAAATCCTGGAGGAACAACAGCAAAACCAGTTGACTGAAGCCTGCACAGGATGTTCCAGCAGCAAAAGCACTGCCTGCTCTACAGCCGAGGCAGGGCTCTTCAGCCATCCCAGATTTAATGTTGGTGTACTTCACTGCTCTTCCAGGGAAGAGAGGCAAGCTACAGGAGACAGACAAGGTTATCACTGAACTGGAATGAGAAGGCGCATTATCTTTATGATGGCTTACGTAGCCACATGGCTATGAGCAAATGGAAAAGGTAGCAAAGAGTGGAAAGAAAATGAGTGTGAAAGCAGCAGTGACAGGGAAGAAAAAGCAGCAAGTAAGAAGAGAAAAGCAATTGGTAGAGATAGGGAAAATTTGTAGGTGCACAAAAGAAGCTGTTTGTACAAAGAAAAAGGAGAAAAGACCAAAGTCTAGAAATGCCCAATAATTTTTTGAAGAGTTTCAAGTACATTAAGGCTACAGTGCAGATTTTTTAATCTGGATTCACCCAGAAGTAAATACAGCTTACAACTGGCTTTCAGAGAGCCAGACTTATTTAGAAAATTTTCTTTGGCAAAAATTCAGATATGAATAGAAACACCACTTAAGGACATATAACTCCTGCCCACCCACCAGCAAGATTACCACTTCACTAGAGGTTTGGAGGCTTTTGCCTCAAGTTCATTTGAAAAGACTATCATTACCCTTTTATACTTGCACACTGACTTGAAAGCGTAATGATTGGGCTTAAGACTATTGAGTTACTTGCATGAATTTAAGAACTGAAATGTTTGCTTTCAAAATATAAAACTAGAGAGAGTTATGCTGACTCTGAGAAGAGATGGCCAGGTTCAGACCTTTCCACAGGATTTTGAAAACCACCAACTGATGGTGTTTTTGTCATAGCTACTTAGCGCTGCCTTAGTATTATCCTAAACACTTCAGAATTCCCATCTTATCCACTGGCAAAGCACTTCAGCTTTTAAAATGCTGTTCTCAACACAATGATGCATTGCTTAATCCCACATTGGACAAATTCCACATTCAGGAACAAACTCAATTCTAAGCACAACTTGCAATTGTCAAACACACAAAAAAAGCGTAATTCTACATTTCTGGCCTCTTTTCTAGTACCAGCAATTTATGTTTACACAGTCCTTTTCCAGTTCATTGTGTTCCTACATCTGATCTGTATGGCTGTCAGCCTCGCAGTGTTCTTCAGCAGAAGATGACAGAAGGTAGCACGAGAGCAATGGCTAAGAGTCCAATTTTTCTCATCTCTGGGTTGCAGTTCTCTCTCAGCAAGTTCCTATCAGCAAGTATTGTCCCTCCTGTAACACAGTGGTATTAGGATATAAGGTCCAGAGTTGTACCAAGGCCTGAAGGCAGTACATCGAAAGTTCCTGAAGACTGAAAAAAAAAAAAATCCACAAGAATTGCATGCACAACAACTTGGAAGCTTTTGTGGAAAACATAATCCACCCTGTTGAGAATAAAGCCTGCCTGCATAGACACCCCCAGGGCAGTCTGAACATTGCTCTGTCCTCCTCCTAAGAAAGATACCTGAGAGAGTTTCCAAGAGTTAAGTCATCCCAAGTGCATCTCCTGGCATTATGAATCCGGACCCATTAAAAGTAGTCACCAAATAAAATACTGGGACAGAGGCAGTACCTACAAAATAAGACCAGAGAGTACAAACCCTTCTAAGAGTTGGTGGCATGTGATTAATGCTGGGGTGATATACAATTGCAAGACCTTCACTAAGGATCATGAATTTGTAAATCAACAAGTTTAATCAACTGGCATGCGTTCATAAGACAAAATTCCAGAAAGTGTTGCTTAATGAGCTCAAGTGGGAGATTATAGTCATATGGAATATTCTGACATGCCCCACCCAGGTGGGGACCAGAACAAATACAACAGGATAATTGCCATTCTATTAGCATATAATGTAATGCTATTGTAGTCTGCACCACTTAGATAGCCTGATAACACTAAAGACATGAAGCAACAATTCAATTAATTATTTCAACAGTTGAACAGTATAGATCTGATTAAAGATTTTCTGGAACTGAGATTCATCTCAGTGGAAAATTCCACTTGGTTTGTTTTGTTTGTTTTTGAGCAACATCATCCCAATCCAGGATTAACAGAAACGTTTTCCTTGCGGGAAATGTACAATTAAAAATGATTTCAGGTAAGTTAAAGCACTGTGCATGGTAAAAATGAAGTGCTTATTTCAGGTGATTTTTGCTTCATTGTGCATATGAACAAAATTCAAAAGTAATACAAAATTAGAAGCAACGTGAAACTGAAGCTTTCTCTGCAGCAAGACGCACCGCTATCTCCCTCTTTGCTGCTCTGCCATCCAACAAAAAAAAAAAAAAAAATTGAAGTATCACTAAAATCTCATTTTTCTAGCAGGGAAAACATAATTTTTAATGAAATTGAATTTTCGAGAAGAAAAATATCAGCATGAATAAAAGTAACCACCACTTTTTCCAAAGCTACTCCTATGGCAATGCCAAGAAGTATGCAGTGCTTTCTTATCAGACAGCTCAATTATCACCTTTGGCATAGCGTCTCCTAATTCCACACAACCCGTCAGAGCAAACAGAAAGCATACTGCCACCTTTGTCTGAGCTCATTCCTAGCTTCCTGATTCTGACTGGGGCAAAACTACCTAAGCCATCTGGAAACATTATGATTATCCATTTGCAGAGGGAAGTCTGGCAGTTCTTTCCATCTAATCCCTCAGAATAACATACGAACCATTACGCAGCTCAAGTAATCTGAATGTTTTTTTAGAATACAATAAACCAAACTCAGAACCACTCCAGACAGAAGACCTGACAAAAGTCACACCCAGAGACTCTCATACATTCGCTGCCCATCAGAATGGGTGCAGAATCCATCTCAAGCTAGCTCTGGTTATTACCAAACCTGTGCGACCAGCCCAGCAGCCACTCAGCTCCTGTAGCTCAAAATGCTGAGCTCCAGTAGCTCGAAACCTCAGCAGTTACCAACAGAAAGAAAAGTCCAAATGCTGCAGTTCCTTCTCACCATAAAACAATCATTCTTCAGGTACTTGTATTGTACTAGCAACATCACATGTGGCACATGTAAATCTCTGAGTCTCTACTGGCTTTTAAATGACAGACCGAGCTGATTTGTCTGTACAACTCCTATATTTTAAGTAAGCCAGGATAAACTTTATGTTCTCAGGCTGCTGGAGGATGGTGTAAAATTGCACCTTTCTCTAGCAATATAAGCTTCCCCTGCTGCCCATTGCTACTACCAAAAGCCTTCATAGGAAAAATGAGGAGTCCTTTCACTGCCTAACAGCAGTTTAGAGCATACAGTAAACATCTCCACAGCATGCAATCCCAGAAAGACTGAGGTTGGCAGGGACCTCTGGCCCAACGCCTGCTCTAGCAGGGCAGTTTACCCAGGCCCATGTCCAGGCAGTTTTTGGGACTCTTCAAGAAAGAAACTCCATAGAGTCTCCATCTTCTATTGAGAAGAGCACCTGATCCCCACAGATTGCTGCTGACCATCACTGACATTTCAGAAAATAAAAATAACCACAAACATGTTCAAGTAAGCCATGCACTTACTGTAATTCTGGAAACGTTATTTCCAGGGTTATCCTGGGAGGAACTCCACAGCACTTATCAGCTAGAACTCAAGAAGGGAGGAACACCACTGGGATGAGATGTGCACAGGCACATTATGGGAGGACTCAGACACTCCTCCTTGTTGCACTGGCATGGAGCAACTTCCAGTTGCAAGCCAGCCCCTTCACAAACTGGTCTGTGCCTTTAAGGGTGTGCCAGGAAATTAAAGAGAGGTCATTGGCTTTTGTTGCAGCAACTTGCTTGTATGTACTTTTAAATACTACATACGATCATAAAGCATGCCCTACATGGGTTTCTCTGTTACACAGATGTAAATAAAACATCATGAATACACAGCTCAGAAACCTTTCTCCTCGGGCATTCAGCTTCCTGTACTCTCAAACACACCCGGTTAATGCATGGATGTTGTATTGCAACTTTTTCCTGAAATAACCGTAAGAAATACACATACTCACACCATTAAAAAGAGAATATTTAAGCTTAAATTAGGAGTAGAAAAATTAAAAGACATCTTACGTAGACAGTTACAAAATTCCTTACAAGGTATCCTGGCACACGACTCCTTTAAGAAAAAAAATAAGTCTCTTGACCTTCATGAACTGTTTATAACCAGGTTTGTTCAAAAACAGACTTTAATTAGCATTAGACAATTAGTTAAAAACAATTGTGAAGACAGCTTTTAATTCAGCTATACTTTCCTTGGATCATTAATTCAGGTCCAGAAACTACTCAGGAGGTAAATTCACTTACCTTATCACACAGACTAAGATGTGGAAACCCTTCTCCTGGGTTCCACCAGGCCAGGAAGCCTCCTGACCTCCTACACTGACTGAAATCTTCAGCCTTGCTCATCTTTTTCCACATAAAATGCACTGGAAACATTGAGAAACTGAAAAAACAGCCTATCAGATAGGACACCTGCAGGGACTGCTGCAATACTGCATCCTGCAGAGCCCAGCTGGGATGGGGGGATGAGGATGACTAAAGTTTATTGTGGCCAGAGACAAATCACAGCTTCAGAGAACAGAGAGACTACCAGTATTCAGATAATACTGACAACTAATACTGAGTGTACTGGGACCACCAGGCAGCCCTTCCAGCCCTCCTCACTTTCTGCTCCGTGACTTCTTACTCTATCTCTTTGCCATATAACACCTCACTTTTGAGATTCAAAGGGGATTTTTGGAGAGTAGCTGAGAAGGATCCAAGTGACAGAACCACATGCATAGATCTATGTTTCTACACCTATTTTTGTGCTCCTGAAACTCCATACAGCTCTACCCAGGAGCAACCTCTAGAGGCCAGCCCCACTCCTTACGTAATATAAGTTTGTAGTATGCAATAAAACCAGCCCCAAACCATGACTGGGCAAAATTCATCATCTGTGCAATTCTGCTCAGGACAGGGTCCTGCAATCGTCCACCACTCACTCCTGACTATGCTGTGCGTCTCCATTCTCTCTCTCCTTCTACATAGGAAAAGAATAAAGCATTTGAAAAATAGCAAGCGATCTGCCTGAATTATTAATACCTCTGAATGTACTGTATTCAATTCGTTACTCTTTGTTGCTTCACTCCGATTTCAGAGGAGTATTTGCTCACTCACTGTGCAAAGTCAAATATTACAAAAGAAAATTCTGCACATTCTTTAATTAAAATTAATTACGCTTTTGTAAGCTTGTAGTCTGGTGTATCGCAGGTGTTTTGGAATGAACTGTAGTATCAAAAATCAGTAGAGGTAAAATTTTGCATACAGCACTAGCAAATTCTGCGTAGAACTTCTGTTAAAAATGATAAAGATTAGTCAAAAAGCTTCTAATCAAACAAAAAAGCTCAACATTCCCCCTCCCCCCACCACACCATTATTTCTCATAAATGTAGTCGGTTTATGTATACCATAATATACCATCATATAAAACTATGACACGTACACAGAATGGATTCTCATTTTTCTGTTGCATAATTAATGTTTAGATAGAAGTACCCATCCATAAACAGAATAGTGTATCACATACAGGTTTCATATTCCTACTGTTATGAATTCAGTGAGGAACCAAAAAAATCACACACTGATGAAATTACTTTCCCAAGGTTATGCAGGAAGCACCTGGTAGAAATGGGAATCAAATCTTAAATCAGAGGCCACACAAGCAGAAAAAAAATCAAACTTCTACTCTCTTGAAGCTAGAAAGAAAAATTTAAATCAAATTCCTGTCTTGATCCACCAGAAGTGTAAAATTATATACTGCATGTATTACGATTAATTTACCTGCAGCCATATATCTTTTCTGCTAATCCTGACAGTACATAGTATTTGGGTTCAGAATTGTCACACACTAGCTCTCTTCTCTAAAATTGGTCCAGCTGTCAGTTTACAACTCTTTAAAGTCCAAGCCTAGTATCAACACCTGGGTAATATTAGCTCTTTGTGCCCCACTTACAAATAGAAAGCTTCTAATGAGATTAAATGAAAAAAAAAAGTCAACTAAATATGGCAACTCACTTGAGTATCTTAAAATATCTCTTCACACCCAGATAAAAAGTTTGCCTGCGTCCCATAGCTTTAACACTGAGGAAATAGCTTACTGGCCACAAGCGTTTGTGGTTTACTTTGGCCATGCAATAATGGAAAAAGCAGAACAATAAATAAAAGCTCATTTGTCTCCACCTTTGCCAGTATTGTAGAGTATGTTAAAATAAAGTAAACCTGATCTGAGTAAACCTCCTTCTGTCAAACACTACAAATGTTTTCTCTGCACTGAAATGTTTCACCAATTCTTGCTAAACAATTTGCAAGGAAAGCAGAAGTATCTCTCCTGTGTATTGTGTAAGGATCATTGCCTTTTCAAGTCACCTTAGGAGAGGGTCAGAATAGGAAGTCGTTCCTGTAAAACTTGCTTGATCCCAAGTGATCAGATTGTGCTTTCTCTTGGTGTCACTGAAGATAATAAATGTGATGGCACTAGTCCGTTCCTTGTTCATCGATGTCAAAAGATCTCCATATAAAAGCAAACAGTTCACAGCTGTATTTCAT